CGGGGATTCCCCGCCGTGTTATTTAGGCTTTAGCGTTGCCGAATTCACTCTACACTGCCCGGGCGCGTTTAGCGAGTTTCTGACAACGTCGCGTCATGGGCAATTTCATTTAACATGAGAAAAAATAATTCATCTGTCCGAAATAATTTTTCTTTAGGAATTTTGCGAAATATGTTGTTCTAAAAACTACTATAATCTTTTAAACACTCCAATTGACAAAGCCAATTTTTTTTTTTTAATTTTTCCGGTTAGCTAGTCAATTGTAATTGAAGAAAAACGACACGCGGCGAGGTTTCTCTCACAGGGTGACCAATCTCGGGTTAAAACCCTCAAGTTAGAAAATTTGGCCTCTTCGCTCCTGAATCATCATCCCCAGAGATACAGAATCATCCAAAAATCCATCTAACTCTTTTATCCACAGCTGAAGCCTCTGAATTTTCGAAAGACAATGGACAATCTCAAATGAACGCCTCAAAAATTCCTCACCACCAACAAATGATTACAGAAGGCATTGAAAAATCTGTTTTCGTAATCGAAAACTCATTAGGCGGAAAAAAATATCCGGAATAAACGAGACCACACACGGATTACGCGCTACACATGCGATTCGCTCCTTTTCCCGGATATTTTTTCATGTGAGATTTTCTCTAGATTAGTAAAATTATGAAAAATTATCCAAGATCTATGAAATTATTTCCTTTATCTGTCATCATCATTATCATGGCTCACTGAGTTTTCTTCCCCGACATTTTTTCCCCTCCAAATGTTCCTCGTCCCATTTCTTCCTCAAAAACGCATCCTAACACTATTTTGTCCCCTTCGATTTCCTTTCAATTCCCCCACTCAATGTTATTTACATAGAAAATACATTATTCAATATTCGATTTTCATTAGGAATAATTAACAGCACGTGTACGTGCATAAAATGCTCCAACAATTATTGATAATAACGCTGAGATTGAAACGAGTTGTTTCAGACTTCAATTAGAATGACTGACTGTATTGGATATCTCACTCATTTAAGGTCAATCCTAAGACAATAATACCCAAAAGTAAGTCCCCATGAATTTCCTAAAAAAGATCTAAATTACTTAATTTACTGCAATCTCATAAATTATTGAGTTTTTCTATCCTCATGTTCTTGATGCAGGCAACATCAACTGTTCGACTCAAATGAGAAATTATTTGTTAATCAATTGTTTGAATCAAATGAGAAATGCTTTCATGAAATTTTCATTCTTGACAATACTGTATTTCACTATTTGTCAGGTATCATTGTACTATTCGCCATCATCGACAAATAATGTAATTTCCGTCCCGGCGGGCGCAAAGTTACAATTCCCTCCCGCTTCGCGGGAGGGAACTCTGACTTTGCGCCTACGCCGAGACGGAAAATCGCGTTCTAACCACGGGAACTAAAATAAAGGACCCTCAGCCGCGTGCTTACCAACCTCGCCTTCGGCTCCGCTGGTAATTGCACTGGCGGCTGAGGATCCTTTATTTTCCCTCCCTAGGTTAGAAATATACTAATAAACCAGTTAATTTTTATTTTTAAGTACTTAACAAAAATGTATCATACACGCTATGAGTCCCATTATTGCCTGACGCTGTCGGACTCTTTATAAATTGAAAAAAAAAATTTTTTTAATTCTTGAGAGTTGAATATCGCAGAAACTATGTAGTACAAAATTTTAAAAAAAATTCACCGTATTCGGAATTTATCAATCTACCACGAATTAGTTTTTTAAAAACATCGCAAGAACCGTTTTCTCAAAAGATGGAAAAATTGAGTTTGGGGAGAGCCATGACCCCCGTTTGGCCTCTGCCTCCCGTTTTAGAAGCCCCTATTTTATTATTTATTCTCTCCTAAACTGTGCAAAACAGGTAGATTAAACAGGTCAATTTCTGGACGAGGGTTAGTTTCTGGACGATTTCAACTTGCATTGAATATTCCACAAATAAAATGAAAATTGTATTGATTATTTCACCTCACCATAATATCCCTTGTGTATAATCATGTGATCAATTATTTTCTTCTATTGATCAACATTTAATAAATAAAAAAATTATGACCCAGTCGTTCAGAAATTGGGGGTTTCGGCTACATTCAACTATTTCTCAATTTAATTAGTCTTTGTTTTGTTATTTTCACTTTAAACTATTGTTTTCTGCTAATTAAAACATTCTTGAAGGTATGGAAGCCATCATATCCCCATTTAGGTGATTCTTTTATTTTAGATCCTACACGAAACTCGAATTTCCTTTGACCGTCCAGCAATTGGCCTGGTCACCCTAGTTAGAATGTTTTTCAATAGCTGGGGGCTATTATAAATATTATCTATGAAAAACATGGGAACAATCTTAAGGGGAAACAAAACCCCTGTCTATATCAACTTTTAGAATTGTGCAATTATTATTTTTTAGTTATGAAACTACTTCATTGGCTCAATAATGCAATGATCGAGTCGATAAAGAAGTTTCATGGGTCAAAATTAATAATTGTAGGAGAAAACACAATTCTAAAAGCTCATGTAGACACAGCAGTTCCGTTTCCCTTTAACAAAAACGTGTTTTTTTAGGGATATTTCTTAACCCACTTTGTTTCTCGGTAAAAAGAGCATCGGAAGTGAATATTTTTTGTCTATTACCAATGTTCTATCCACACACACACACATACATCATGATTAAAGGAAATTAAATATTCAATACTCTTTTTTTCTTTATGAATAGAATTAATGAACAGCCATGAAAGGAAAATAAAGGGGGGAAAAAATAGTGCTAGCATGAATTTTCAATGAAGAAATGTCGAGGAAATTTTGTCGCAGAAGAAAAGACCGGCCAGAATTATCATTTCCCTTCCCGAAATCCAAATTTCCCCTGAAAAATTCGTCCCCACCTGCTATGAATTACACAAGTACTCATGAACCGTCACGAGCCACTGAATTCTGTTTTCATCAAAAATGCATTCGCAGACGCAATCAAACCCTCACTAAATCCCCAACACCCCACGAATCTACAAACCTGAATGAATTTATGAGAAAGTTTCTTCAGCTACAAAAAAGGTATTTTTTAATTCTAAACAATCTAACCAAGTCAGACGATTTCAATTACTAAATTATACTATCATTAAACAGTTCATCAAATTCAATTTAAATCGATTATATTAGTATGGAACTCATTATATTGTTGCTGAACTTGTAGTTTGCTTCACAAATGTGGTTCTTGATGAATTATGTATATTTTCGGACATAAATAAAATCTTTCATCGATCAATCGACTCCAAACTTCAAAATGCCTCCCAAAACTTCCCGATAAAAAAAAATCTTCTCCACCTGCTACAAATTTCACAAACACCAATGAACCGTCACGAGACATCGACTTCTATTTTCATCATCAAAAATCCACCCACAGTCACAACCGACCCCCCGTGAATCCCCAAACACGCCAGCCCTCCAAATAATCCCCCCACAATCAAGCAATACCTCTGTTCATTATTAAACTGTAATTAAAATTTTTCAATCAATCAATCAATCTACTCCAAACTTCAAAATCTCTTCGAAACTCCAAATTTCCCTATAAAAACAATTCTTCCCCACCTGCTACAAATTACACAAACACCAATGAACCGTCACGAGACATCGACTTCTGTTTTCATCATCAAAAATCCACCCACAGCCACAACCGACCCCCCTGAACCCCCACACCCCCCGTGAATCGCCAACAGCCGATGACAAATAACTCACCGAAACCCCCCAGGCCTTCAAATAATCCACCTAGTATCAAAAAATACCCCTGTCAATTATTAAACTTTAATCACTATCTTTTAATGAATCCACTCTAACCACTTCAAAATCCCTCCTACAACTCCAAATTTTCCTATAAAAAAAATTCCTCCCCACCTGCTACAAATTACACAAACACCAATGAACCATCACGAGACATTGACTTGTTTTCATCATCAAAAATCCACCCACCGTCACAACAGACCCCCCGTGAATTCCCAAAGACGCCAGCCCTCCAAATAACCCACCCACAATCAAGCAATACCTCTGTTCATTATTAAACTCTAATTAAAATCTTTCAATCAATCAATCAACTCCAAAACTCCAAATTTCCCTATAAAAAAAGTTCTTCTCCACCTGCTACAAATTGCACAAACACCAATGAACCGTCACGAGACATCGACTTCTGTTTTCATCATGAAAAATCCACCCACAGCCACAACCGACCCCCCTGAACCCCCACACCCCCCGTGAATCGCCAACAGCCGATGACAAATAACTCACCGAAACCCCCCAGGCCTCCAAATAATCGTCCAACCATCAAGCAACACCCCTGTCACGTTGCACTCCACACGGAGCACATCCAGGAATGAAAACCCCTGGACATGTCGCCTATATGCTCAGTCCCCTCAAACGAATCATAAAATGGATTTACCTAATTGTCCGAAGGGCGTACGATCGCAATGTCTCTGGGACCTATGGGCGATAAGCCCGTTGAACTAACGACGACACAATTATCTCCTCGCGTTATCATTTGTCGAAACTTTTACGATCACTTACAAATCAGCATGCCACCATTTTACCATACGTCACTTCAAGTCAAAACCCAACGAGTCAAAAGCGTATTCTTCGGGATTGCTGCAATTGTGGGCGAGCATTGAGGAGTGTGAAGTGCTTTACAAGCAGTTTGGACAACAGAATGAAGTTAGAATCGTCTCTGGCGTCTGAGAGTTGGTGGCAGTGGCCATTTTGCTCGGGTTACGGAGGCAACTTCAGAGTTTTTCGTGTCCACATGGGATTTTGGAGGTTTTCACTTGTTTCTTCTGTCATTTTTAGTTGTTTTTTGTTGGAGTGAGGATGAATTTTGAGAGGAGAGTTGAACATGTCATTGTTGACACCAGTGCTTTCATCAAAAATGTCCCTCTCCAGGTGATTATACTCATTTGTTTGGATGTAAATGGGGGGTTTTGGGGTGGAGGTTAGAGAAAGGATTTTTTATCCTGTTTTTTTAATCATTTTCCTGGGTTTTTATTGAGAAAAACGATGTTTATTCGAGGATTATTTATGAATTCTGAAAAGTGACTTTAGTTTTGACATTCTGGAGCTAAATGGGCGGGATTTTTCCGCTGGGGATTTCATCTGTCGTGCTGATGAGTTTACTACTTCACTTTTTATGTCAAAAAATGAGAAAAAATGGGGCTTTAATCTTTATGTCGATCAGAAGGAGGCCTCACAAACATCGCTAAGAGAGCTTTTTTGAAAAATTTTCATTTTTTGAGTTTTTGGAATTTTCTTCTCAAAATTGGCTGACGTCAAAAATTTGAAAAATTAGTAATATCTAACTACGTCATAAATCATTGAAGGATGCATTTTTCAATATTTTTCGAATCATTATTCAGGATATAATAAGAAAAAATCTGGGAAAATTCATACCTGTAGCAATCTCAAGAAAAAATTGCAAAAACCCGAAAAATGAAGATTTTTAAAGTTTTATTTATGCATAGTTTTATTTATGCCAAAGTGGTCTCTTTTCATGCGGACGTCCATCGCATGAAAAGAGACCACTTTGGCACTATTGGAGTTATGTATATTCCCATAATCTTGATCTGATTCTGAACATTTAGAGCCCAGAATGAACTTGATAGCGTAAAGAGTGACGACGCTACAGAAGATCGAAAAAATAATTTAACATGGTTTTAAATGGGAGTTGGCAAGAGAAAAACGTGAATATCTCGGAAACTAGAATCGACAAAGTGGTCCCTTTTCATGCGGACGGCCACATATATTCTGTATCTGTCAAGCCAAATTCAAGTGAAGTCAATCCATTGTGACTTGCGTCGTGAGGAAACTTGAAGATTCCATCAGTGAAAAAATCAAAACTGCATTTCTTCTCATTTTTTTTACGTAAAGGATATCCAAGTACTTCGGCTATTTTTTCTCCGGTGAAATGCTTTTTTTTATACTCTTGTAGTCAAACATCAGAGCTTTTATTTAAGCCCCAATTGGCCCTGAGTACGGGCATATGACAATGATTGACGGTGTGAGCGAAATTCATGGAAATCAATTTTTATAGGAAGTTGGAGAGAACATTATCACTGAACAGAGTGTTATCAATGAAATCAAGAGTAAAAGACAGCTGAGGAGACTCGTAGTGCTGCCTTATGATTTGGTGATCAAGGATGTCTTCCCTGAGAATATCCAATTCGGTGAGAATTTCTAACAGAACAATTTTATTTCAGCAGCAAAGTGGTAGAACGATTCAAGTCGACCTAGCTCTTAGCTGAGTTCTCGAGGAATATCTCGAAATCTAGGGGAGGTACCGAAATTTTCGTGAAGACCTTTGTTGTACCCCTCAATTTGCTCTACAAAAAAGGTTATAACATAAATTTTGCTACCTGCCTTGGATTTCAAGATATTTATTGAAAACGGGACAATAGTCAAAATCGACTTGTTTTACCACTCCAGTGCTAATTTGCAAAAGAATATCGCGAGTTCTTTTTTGTAACTGACGAAAATTTTCTGCAAATCATGTCTTGAGATTTTCTCTCGACCCCTTTTATCATTGAGATAATCTCATATTTATTCAATTTATTCATTCTATTTTCTTTTTTTTTCATTCATTTATCCAATCATACCATATCTTCATTTAATTTGTTTCTCCCGCTATCTTTCGATAATAATCTTCTGAGGAAAATTTCAAGAGATCTTATTTGCAGAATTTCCTCCTCAAATTCCTCATTACGAAGATAATCCCACATTTAATTACACAAATGTAATTATTCTACAGTTTGATGAAACTTGTATTTAATTATTTTAGTCAGAGCTATTTCATGTCTTTTGCGCTGGACTAATTCTAATGCTCAATTTCCTCATTACAGTCACGGAATTTGCGAAGAAGACTGGAGACTACACGAGTCTCTCTGCCACAGACATCAAAGTGATAGCACTGACTTACCAATTAGAAAAGGAGAAAGTGGGTACAGATCATCTTAAAGAGTCTCCTGCAATAGTCAAGACCCTGCCAGCGACCAGAGCTGAACCCCTAGCCCACCCCAAGAGTATCATTGGTTTCTATGTCCCTGGGGATGATGAAAACGAAGGGGAAGACTCCGAAGATGATGGAGAAGGTGATGAAACTCTCACGAATCCAGAGGTTGTCAAAAATCTACAGAACAGCGAGGGAAAACCAGAACCTGTGGACAATACACAGCAAGAGGAGAGTGAAATCCTCGAAGGGAGGACGTCACAGTCACCTGACAGTGATGTGGATGGGACAGATGAGGAATCCGAGGGCTACCTCACAGCTCAGTCAGACCAAGACTCACAGACAGAAAAAACCGACCTCATTTCCAAGTTTGAACGTCTAAATTGTAATGCTGACGAGTTTGAACTCGAAACTGGTGCGGAGAATGCTGACGAGATACTCGCACCTGTCGGGAAAGAGTCCAGTGAGGAAGAGGAGGAGGAGAGCACAGAGAGCGAAGAGGATGATGACGAGGGCTGGATCACACCTAGTACGTAGTCAATTGATTTTTTCCTTTCGAATGGAAGTTTTGCAATCGTTCAAATTAAGTTTTGTTTTTTATTTGGAATCGATGGAATTAAAACTTTTTTTCCCTCAAATGTAGGTATTGTTGAGCCCTAGCAATCGCCATTAATTAAAGTTTAATTCGTTTATTAATTTTTTAAAGTTTTTAAATTTTTCGAAAAAAAAATTTTTCACCCGAACTTAAAAAATTTTCTGAATTGATTGAATGGTGGTTTAGAAAACTTGTTTCGATGTCCCTTTGGCCGAGTTCGAAGATAAAGGCGATAGCAATAATCGTTATTTTGATTTATTTCAAAATTTGCCAAAATTCTGTATTTTTTGAAAATCAGAATTCCGGGGATATCTTTGGATATCTTAAAATGTTCGTTTTAATGCCATTAAGTCGAAGTTAAAAGATGATTACGATAGCTATATTGATTGATTTGATTTTTATGATGATGGTTGAAAATTTTGGATTTTTCATGAAGTCCCCTGACAATGAGCTTTCTGGCGATTTCCTCAAATGTGGTGTTTCAAATTCATTCAGTTATGTATAAAGAACATTTTTCCATTAACATTTTTTCGAAGGGCTGAGGGGAGAGTCTATAGAACTGTAAAAAAGACAATTGGTTGTATAGAACAAAGCGATAATAAGAATAATTATGATGATAACATTCAACTAAGTTGAAAATCTGCAAAATTAGTTGAAAAGAAATCCTATTCAATTCAATAAAATGAAATAAACAATGAATTATACATAATAGAAGCAAATGATGTGCAAAATAACCATTCGGAAGCATTCGCTAATTTATTAGCAAAAATAAATGTACTATATTCAATACAAGAGCAATTTCCCACTGTTGCTTTTATTTTGAAGTCCATTTGGATGGAAATGGATGCCAATTAATTTTTGTATGTCAATAATTTTGATATTCATTTCTCAGGCAATGTGGCACAAGCTAAAAAAGAAATGGAGTCAGACATAATCTCGGACAAACCAGCCAAAGTCGCGTGCATGACGACTGATTTTGCCATGCAGAATGTCCTCATGCAAATCGGTCTCAATGTTGCTGCCTTGGATGGTCGGGTCATCAGACAAATGAGGACGTTCATTTTCCGGTGTTACGCTTGCTTCAAGACCACCAGTATCATGACCAAAGTATTCTGCCCCAATTGTGGACTCAAGACACTCAAGAAAGTCGCTGTTTCGTTGGATGATCAGGGAAATGAGAAGATTCATATCAATTTTAGAAAACCTCTTTCTGCTAGAGGGAAAAGGGTAATCTGTAACTTGAATTAAACTTTCAGTACACAATTTTCTTCAATCACTGGAAAAAAGCATCAGAAAAATTATTTTCATTCTTTAACATCAATTCTTGTATAATAGTCAATTTTTAATTGACTCAATTTGCATTTGACAATTTTTTGAAATTGATTTTCTTGGTGAACACTCATTTTCAATTTTTTTTTCAGTGCATTTCTCTCGTAAAAAAAGAATGTCCCAACATTTTCATCAGTAACTTGATTCATTGAAGTTATTCCTCGAATTTTTAAGAATCAATTTCCCTCTTTAAAATGGTATTTTAAGGATTTTCTCATATTTTAGTTCTCCCTGCCAACTCCAAAAGGAGGAAAACACGCCAACAACCCAATCCTCTGCGAAGATCAGCCAGTCCCTGATCAGAGGCCCTCGAGGCTCGCTCGAATGAAGAATGACCCCCTCAACGACGACTACATCGCTGGCTACTCACCTTTCATAATGAGAGACGTCAATTCCAAATCAGCAATGTTAGGAATCCGAGCTGGACACTCGAACTTCAAATACTGGATGAAGAAGAATCCTAATGAGTCTAGGAAAAAACGAAAATGAACTCTTCATAATTTTTATAAATTCTAAATAAAATTTATGCAATAAAGAATGAAAAAAATCAAAGAAAGCGGGATGTTTCCTTTCTACTCAAAAATATTTCTTATTTAGTTGGAGTTTAATCAGAGTTTAAGCCAGGTTCTGTCAGTTAACAATTTTTGAGCGGCAGTTAAAATATCGATTTTGGGAAAAATATCATTTTTTTTAAATTTGTATGAAAAATTGAATTTTAATTGGTGTCAATGAATAGAGCTCATTCAAGTCTATATTCATGAAAAAATTCATGGAATTTGGTTGATCCATATAAGACAATTTCCAAAATTAATTATTAAAGTCCACAAATGGTCGATAAATGATAAATTTTTTAATGAAAAAAAAAAGAAAAATTGGGAGAAATCAATCGGAAGAACGGAAAATTTGTAAAATTATAAAATGTAATAAAATAGTTGGGAATGGATATATTTGGTGGATGCTTAGGGAAACGTAAGAGACTTGGGAAACTAATTCTAAGGAAATATAGGTATACAACAAGCCATATAAAAAGCCTCAACAAAATTAAATTTTTGAAAGTACAAAACCATAACAATAATTGGCGAAAGTCCATATTTAGTCACCCTAACACAAAAAATTTAGAAACTTAAGTTTGAGTGATTGCAAAACTTCCATTCGAAAGCAAAACAAAAAAAATGCTCCGGGTGAGGATCGAACTCACGACCTTAAGATTATGAGACTTACGCGCTGCCTAACTGCGCCACCGAAGCTTATGGACACAAGAAACCCAGGCGCCACAAGAGTCGCACGTCGAAAAGCCCCAACCACGTGTTCAATCTATAGTCTAACGGACATTGGCCTCTTCTCGGGGACGTTCGGTGACTTGAGTGGTCGGTAGTGGGGGTGCCGCATCCCAATGCAGAGGAGGAAGAGTGGGGGGAAAGCACCGAAGATGAACGAAGTTCTGAAAAATGTAGCGAAGTAGTAAAACGCTGTGACAATTCTACGATTTTTTGTAGTTGTCCATTTATCTCAAGATCAAGGGGTTCCAGGAGAAAACATCAAAGGACTTTTTTCTAGCTGATGAAATTTCCAATGAAAGTTGTCTTGTGATGTTTTTCTCTAGGACAACTTATGACTGAGATAAATGGGTAGTAACATGAGCTTAGATTTTGAGAATGGGAAATTGTCAGATGTATAATAAATTATTTGTCTCGCTAATGAGGATTTAATGGGAAATAACAGGGAACTACTTTTTAGGAAATTTCAGTAGGCAAAAAGTAGTTTTGTGACATTTTTTCTTCGGAACTTATTAATTCCCACGATAATTCGATATTTAGGGACGTTTAACATCGGCTCTTTCTGCATAAAAAACTAATCATCGACTTGTAAAAGCCAAATCTTTCTCCCAATTCATCTCGTTAACGACTAATTCTAACCGAAAACACCAAAGGACTTTTTTGTAGAAAATTTCATGAGCTGCAGAAAAGGTTTTTTTACATTTTCTCCTCAACCCACCCCTCACCATGATAATTCGACATTCAGAGACGTGTAAAATCGATTCCTGCCTAAAACCAATAAACTTCGTAAAAGTCAAACCTTTCGCCTAATTTATCTCATTAACGAGTAATTCTAACCGAAAACACCACAGGACTTTTTTGTAGAAAATATCATCAGCTGCAGAAAAGTTTTTTTGTCATTTTCTCCTAAACCCACCCCTCACCAAGATAATTCAACATTCAGAGACGTGTAAAATCGATTCCTGCCTAAAACAAATAAACTTCGTAAAAGTCAAACCTTTCGCCTAATTTATCTCATTAACGACTAATTCTAACCGAAAACACCACAGGACTTTTTTGTAGAAAATTTCATCAGCTGCAGAAAAGTTTTTTTGTCATTTTCTCCTGAACCCACCCCTCACCAAGATAATTCGACATTAAGAGACGTGTAAAATCGATTCCTGCCTAAAACAAATAAGCTTCGTAAAAGTCAAACCTTTCGCCTAATTTATCTCATTAACGAGTAATTCTAACCGAAAACACCACAGGACTTTTTTGTAGAAAATTTCATCAGCTGCAGAAAAGTTTTTTTGTCATTTTCTCCTGAACCCACCCCTCACCAAGATAATTCAACATTCAGAGACGTGTAAAATCGATTCCTGCCTAAAACAAATAAACTTCGTAAAAGTCAAACTTTTCTCCTAATTTATTTCATTAACGACTAATTCTAACCGAAAACACCAAACGACTTTATTGTAGAAAATTTCCTCAGCTGCAGGAAAGGTTCTTTGTCATTTTCTCCTAAAACGACTCGTAACCAAGATAATTCCAAATTATGCAGACACGCAAAACCGACTCGTTCTGCTTCATTGTTGCCACTGAATCGTCAGTCTAACTATACATCTCCACTCTCCACAGCTCCATACTTCGCACGTCCGCACCAACACAGTTCCCGAGTATTCCCCAACGACAGACGCTAACCCTCGCACCTCCAAAACAAACGTCGCAGTTTTATTTCATTACATTAGTCCCTCCAATGCACCAATGTTGTGTCCAAAAGTGTGGGACTTGAAGGCCCCCCAGCATCACAATGAAATAGCACGTTGGAGCAAACCGGAAGTGCCCCTGACAATTAGTAATCATTACTACAATCACTCGGTAAGTCATTCGTGTCCACAGTCAGAAGTCATTACATTTTAAGTAGTCAATTCAGTTTCTCTCGTCTCTTTGTCTTCCATTCTTTCAAACGTTTCTGTTACTGCGACTCTAGATATTTCGATTTTTACGTAATCCCTCAATTTCGCTTTATTTGTGGTTTTGGATTGCTGCCAGGTGTCTGTTGTTGCTCCTCGCAAGAGACAACTTCCCGTGGATATTGTTGACTGTGTCCTAGAGGACAGTGACTACTACAAAGTCGAGGGACTGCCGGCCTCTCAAATCGTTGATAAGGAGTTCGTCGAGGCTTTTGTTAAGAAAGGTAAATTGGTCGCATATTTTTTATCATTATTCATTTTTTTTATACGGGTGTTTTCGCCAATTATTGGTATGGTTTTGCAGGGGAAGTTGGCGTAAAACGGACCCTTGACTTTTTTTAAAATGTTAATGAGGGGTCGAAATGTTGATAAAATTTAATAATTTTTTTTCAGTTACAAAGAACAATTCTTTCCCTTTGTGACGAGCCTAAACTGAGCTCAGTTGGTCAATTTGTTTCTGAGTTATGAATAATTTTAAAAAAAGTCTAAAGTGTCCATTTTCCCCCACCCTCCCCTACTTTAAAAAATTTAGTTTTGTTGGGGCTTCTCATATGGCTGTCTTGCCATTCAAAAGGCATAATTTTTTTTTTCATTTTCCACTGAGAAAAAATCCAGTGTAACGTTTTTTGAAGGCTCTATTCAGCTAATTCAGTATTGTTAGGTTTTTTACTGTTGTATTGTAAATTTTGGTCATTTTATTATATGTCAAAAGTTATTTATATTCAAAATTATGTATATAAATTTTTAACATAAATAACTTATGTATGGAAATTTTCAATATAAATTGTCTTTAACATATGAAAAGGAAATTAAAAAAAAATAAAAATTGAAACGGAATACTTCAGAAAAAGTTACACTGGATATACAAAGAAAACAAACACAACTAGGGGAGGATGGGGTAAAATGGACTTTTTAAAAATTACTCATAACTCAGAAACAAATTTATCAATTGAGGTCAGTTTAGGCTCATTACAAAGAGAAAGAAATGCTCTTTGCATTGAAAAAAAATATTGAATTTCATCAACATTTCAAGCAGTCATTAACATTTAAAAAAAAGTCAAAAGTATCCATTTTAGCTGTACCGACGTATTTTTTTTCCAATGTATTCTTTCCAATCCGGAATTAAAGTTGAAGGTCTCTTCACGTTTTCTAATAAATCTAATCCTTATAGAGATAGTAGCGTATTGCACATAATGAAAAAGAAAAATAATATGACCAGGAGGGTAATTACGCGTTATTTTCGAGGAATGTCAGGAGACATTGAATGTCAGACATTAAAATCAAATTGAGCCGTTTGACTGCCATTCATTTCCTAAAATTCATTTGACTCGGGGGGCTGTACCACTTGGGTCTCCTTGAACACTAGAATTGGACAGTTTCCATCGTTTTATTATACACTTGTGTTATTTTTAGGGGAATTAACTCTCTTGTCGATAAATACGAGAATTGATCTCGAAAATTGCATCTGCGTTACCCCGAAAGGTCAACTTGTGCTCTCTCTGAAGGTTGAGGACTACCAGAGACTTGGAATCGAGGGAAAACAGTCCTACTTCGATAGATCCAGGAGTTCTCGTTTTGGTGAGTCTTCTGAATATTTTTTTTCTTTTTGAATTGAGGAAAAAGGTCGTATGAATCATTCCAATGCCCTTCTGATGAAAACCTCGATTGTTTCTCAAATGAGCTGTTTTAGGAGGAAATGTCTGTTGACATCTGTCTTCGGAACCTTTTGTGATTGAAATAATTCCACATTTTAAAAGAAAAAAAGCTAATCGTGTCAGAACACCTCAACCCCTGTCCTGCCCTGCCCCAGAAAATTTAAGAGTTTGGTACAGATTGTCGAGACAATAAAATTAACGAGGAATTATGTTATTTTCATGGACATAAATTTACATTAACTCCATTAAAAAGACGTTACGTTAATTTAATTAACGCCAATGAACAATAACCTCCTCAATGAGATTATTTCACTGACAAGAACTTGTAAAAAACAAAAAAAATTTCCTTGGCTTCACAGACAATTAATGAAGATCTCTTGGTATTTTTCTCTAGAACTTCGTGATCCAGTTATTCCACATTTACGAATACAAATTATATTGCCAGAAAATTACATTGACTCCATTAAGAAAACATCAAGTTAATTGAATTAATGCGAATGTAAATCAACCGCCTTAATGACATTATTAAAAAACTTAGAAGTTTCTCATTTTTGCCTTGACTTCACAAACAATTAATGAAGATCATGTTGGAACTAAAAAAGATTGCCACAACAGTGTCTCTAGATATTTCCTTTTTTGATAAAAAAAAGAAATGTCTTGATATTTTCCTCTATAACTTTTCGTGATCGATATAATTCCACATTTACAAAACCAAAAAATGAACTCGTTTGTTAGAACAGCCAATCCTATCCCAAAAAATTTTAGGTTTTTGTTTTGTACAAACTATCGAGATAATTAACATCATCAATAAAATAATTTCATTAACAGGAAATTAGATTGACTCCATTAACACAACATTAAGTTAATTGAATTAGCGCGAATGTAGATCAACCTCCTTAATGATATTATTCCACCGACAAGAATATGTAAAAATCAAATCAGTTTTCCTCAATTTTGTCTTGACTTTACAAACAATTAATGATGATCATGTTGGGGCTAAAAAAGATTCCTAAAACCTTTTGGGATCGAAATAATTGCATATTTACAAAAACGAAAGAAATCGTACAGTCAAGGCCACCGCAAAAAAATTGAAGGAAACCACCGAGATAATTTACATCATCTACGACACCATTAAGAAGACATTACATTAATTAAGTTGATGTACATCAGCCTCTTTAACGAGATTTATACATTAAACATTAAAGAAGGTGATTTATATAGCGCTCCATATCTTTGTGGCGTCGTAGGAAATGATTGAATGGGATTTGGATGAGGTAGGAGGCGAACCGGGATAAATAAATGTAGTTTTGGAGCTGAAAAAACTCTTTCAACAATATCTATAGACGTTCTGTTCTCACAGGTCAATAACTTCCCATTTACAAAACAAAAACAACTCTTTTGATGACACAAAATCGAACGAAAATACCCAGCCCAATCCAAGAACGTAAAAACCCCATTTTAAGGCCCGAGTGGATTATCTTTCGAACGGGATCTTGGTTGTTTTTTTTTATTTTGATAATCTGAAATGATCTCCAATTGCTATTCAGGTTTACATAGCCCGCGAGTCTCTAAAAACTATGATTGTACAATCAAAAAAACGTTGAAAAATAGCTGAACATTTTCAAAGAGCGTTTTTGAATAATATTGGGAAATAAACTCAATGGAGAGGAAATTGCAAATTAATAATTTGATGTATCTGATGGCTGTCAGGTCGTCATTTGTCACAGTAGTCAATGGCTGTCAGATCATTGGTTACCATGATAAATTATCTATTCCCTACTTCTTCTCTATTGAACTTATTTCCTAATCTTTATTAAAAACGCTCTTTGAAAATGTTCACTTTTTTCTACTTTTTTGATTGTACAATCATAATTTTCAGGGACTCCTGCGTGATGTGAAATCCAATGGAAATTGTGATATATTTTACATTATGAAGATGGAAAAACAATCGAGATAACGTTCGAAAGATAATCCATCCAGGCCTTAAAGTACTTTCCAACCATTCTAATGGTTCATACGACTTTTTCCAGCCCCCCCTCTCTAAAAATGCCCCGGAAGCATCAAGTGCCTGCGCTGCAGGAGCTTGCACTGTGCTCCATCGGCGAATACGTAACAGCTTTCGGCAAATCAATAGTCACCCCAATCTGCAAGCAATCATGCACAGACCCCCGAGGAGGTTCCAAACGGCTCCAAAGCCTCCTAAACTCGATGAAGCACCGCCTAAGCTCGAGCATCCCCTGGCACTTGTACAACCCAATGGCCTTGAAATCCCTAAACGCCATAAAGTCCCTGATAAACGAGCGTAGAAACTCTTACAACGACTTTCAACCGATGAACGTCTTCCTCACGGAGGTGAACGTCCTGGTGAACCTTATCGAGGTGCTTTTGCACCACAATCTGCGGTCGATGGAATTCGCGGAGTGGCCGAAAATAATGCGCCATGTTCTCTACAACAATCTACACAATATGTCTGGGCTTGAGGTCCTGGACCTCGGCTCGGGCTCCGCGGGCTGGCGAACGTCGGAGATTGAGAAACTCATCATCAACGGGGTCTCGCACATGCCGAATCTCCTCTCCTTCACCCTGTGCTCAGACTGCACCGACAACATCATCCTCGTGGTCGGAGAAACCTGCAAGAAGCTCAGAACACTAGACGTGATCGCTTCCAGGTCAGTCACGGACAGGAGCATTCCCTCAATCCTCAATTGCCATTACTTGAGGGAGGTCAAGCTGTTCAGAACTTCAGTCTCCATCAGTGGCTTCGCCGATCTCTTGATCGGTCTGCCTTGGCTGGAGAACATCGGACGTTGTGACGACATCGGAGAAGTCTTCGAGTCGATCTCGCTCAAGGAAATGACTCAGAACGACTCGGAGAAGAATTTGGCGCTCAAAGTGTTGGAAACTAGAAATGTCACTATCGAGGATCTGTTCCTGTTCATCGACATGTGCCCCTTCATCACTAGTATCTCGATCATGTGCGACGAGAGGACTGATCTCAGGATTTTGTCTGCTTTGGAGCACCTGCAGGAGCTGAAGCTGTTGTCTTGCGACTTTTACGCGGATAAGGTGAACGATCTTTTGGAGCTTACGAATTCGAGGATCAAGAGTCTGCACCTGGAGCATGTGGAGGAGATTGACAGGAGTGCTCTGGTATTCATTAGTCAGTACTGCCCTGGGATAAGGAGTCTGACGTTTTACAATTGCGATTTCTCCGAGGGATTGTCCACGCAGTCCAGGACGCTGAAGATCGAGCCGTTCAAGTTCTTGGAGAGGCTCAAGTGTGTGGCGGATTGCGCGAGTTGTCATCTGGAGTTTTTGTTGAGCAGTTGTCAGGGGATCAAGTTCATTCAACTGGGGTCTTCCACGGGGGTTGGGGATGTGACGATGCAGAAGGTGTTTGCGGTTAATAAGATGAGGGAACTGGAGGAGCTGAAGATTCTTTATGGTGGGGATCTGTCGATGAGGACTGTCAGACTGATTATGGAGAATTGTGAGAGGTTGAGGAGGCTGAGTGAATTGGAGGGGTGGCATGGGGTGACTCAGGGGGAGCTGGAGAGTTTCAGGGAGGAACTGAGGGTCAATAATGTGGATTTGGACACTAGTCCTACTTTATCGCTTGCTTGAAGTTCTTTTCATGTTGAGATAAGGAGTTGGGGGAGCGGGGAGGTGGGAGCCGACAGGATGAGGAAATTTTGAAAAGAATTGGGTGCGTGGGGAAATATGTGAGGGAAGTTTTGGGGAGATTGACTTAAGATAATCAAATCTGAGTTCAGGAGTGGAGTGGGCTAATTACAAATTATCTGAAAAAATTGGTATGTTAAGGATATCCAAGTATTTTTTACAGTTTGGTACAGACCACATATGGATTCACCCATTTTCAATCATGAAATTTATCAATTAAATTGCGTGAAAGAAAATTGAAAAAAATCATGAATATTTAATGCCATTCAAATTATATGTTGCACATAATTTTTATTTTTTTAAAACATTCGTTGTTTAAAAAATAAATAATTGAAATAGTTCCAAATTTCGGAAAACTTTTTTTTTAGTCGTGAAATCGATTTCTGGTAAAATTTTGAATATGAATAAATTTGTTACGATTCTGAACAAATGATTTTTATGGTGAAAAATTAATTGTTTATGCAACAGAATTTTTGGACAGAATAACTATTTTTTTAAACATTAGTTGTTTATAAATAAATCATTGAAGTTGTTTAAACTTTCGGAAACCTTATTTTTTTAGGCATGAAATCGATTTCTGGTGAAATTTTGAATATGAATATATTTGTTACGATTCCGAACAAATGATGTTTATGGTGGAAAATTGATCGTTTTAAAATTATTTATAGAAATGCTTGTAATTTTAAAAAATTGCCATTTTTTAATTATTTTATCAGTCTTCCTCCAAAAGTAAACTTTCCAATTTTTTTCTTAGATTTTGAAAATGTTTTCTAACGGTTCAATATCGAGATTCAAATTCCGATCTGCAAAGTTTAAATAAGAAAATCATTGTAAAATGTTCGGAAACTTGAGCGCAAATGGGGCTAAAATGAAAGCTAATATCATAAAAATAGCAAAAGTACTTGGATATTCTTAATCCTGAATATCGAGGGAATCAATGAGTTTAGAGGAAATAACTAAACCTCGCAGTTCCAGAGATATGAGAAAAATAGAAAATTTCTTGAAATGTCTTAACAACGTCATAATTTTTTTTACTCATTTCGCCACTTCACAACTGAATGGGCAATTATTAATAGCTAAAAATATTTATTATGATGATAAGGATTGTAAGCCACTGTTGCATACCCTTAAATTTGTGATAATTTCATCGTAACGAACATTACGATTTCTTTGTGACGTGGATGTCAGCTGTACTGAGATGCCACTGAATATTGTTTTCCATTAATGTTAGTGATAACGAATGCTGGTACTAATTTAAATATTTATACCGTATTTTGTACACTAGTCTTCGAGGAATTTGTACATGTGGACTGTGATGACGCTTCCAATTTTGTTATTTTTACTTTATTTTGTATATAAATGTTTTTTGATGATTGGAGTTGAGTCGTATCTTTCATTATTTTTTACTTTCTGTTCCCACGAATTTTCTTTGGCTGTACTGTACTGTTTATACAGTCGTGCAAGTGGATTTGAGGGAGGAGACTTTTACACCGGGGAAGAAGAATTACGAGAGAGTGCGGAAATGTCTGGAGGAGAACCTGGAGGGGGTGTTTGATGTCATCTTCATTTGGGAACCACCAGGTGAAACTTTTTAAATCTTTTTTGGTGAAATTGAATGAAAAATGTGCAAAAACTGAAAGGAGGAAATTTATGAAAATTTGTATAAAATTGTAGAAATTATCAGAATAACAATATTAATTTGTGGATTCATACTGTTGCAAAGAAAAAAACGTGTGTCCATCGTCAGCTGCAGCCTGGTTCCACCAGAAAGGCTACAAAGTTTCGTTGTGTCGTCAGAGGCATTCAGAGAGATTGGAGCATAATTGCAGGATACCATCAGTGGGCCCTGATTGCGATGATGAGAGATTTCTCGAGTGGCTGGGAATCTTCAGTATTGGCGGAGACGTGTGAGTAATTGTTTTTCACTTGAATAAATTCAGCCACCTTCCCTAGAGGGTGTGATGGGTTGAAGCTATTTAATTTTTCACGGAGTTTTTTTTTCCTTTAAGCCGCCACGAGTGTATATATATATAGATATACAAAAGCGGGTAAAACTTTGAGCCATTCCCAGGGGCTAATTAATGGAATAAATGAGATGAAACTTACGTTCAAAAATTTGTTTTTCTTGTCGGCCCCGTGTGAAATCGAATCGGGCACTCCCCGATGTCAGGAATTGTGAGGGAAATAATTTTTTATTTTGGGCAATTTGACAGTTTTCGATAGCCATATTGTGTGACACATGCAGACAACTTCCGAGATCACGGTGGTCGATAAACCCATGGAGACTGATTTTATGGACTGCTGTGACATTCATTCAAAGAGAAAATTACTTAAGATCCTAACAAAGTAAACTGATAATTTAATCTCCATGGTCACATATTGGTATTCTCTCTGTTGTTATAGAATTAATGAAGATCCAGAGAATTATGTGAATAGTTACATACCTCCATGTCCCAACGCTCCGAAGGGTGATCTGTTGTACGCAGAATGGACGGGATTTTTCAGCAGAAAGAGGCTGGAGAAAATTTACAAAAAATTAGAAAATTACGTGGATCACACACCCTGGCTGAGCCTCCACGTCCAAGGATTCGCCGACAGTCCAGTCAGCTGGGGCCTGAAAGAGCATTCATTCCACACAGACGGCGACAATAGCTACACGATTGTCTTCCACGAGAATGGAGGAAAATTAATCAGCAAGAGTCTAAGTTCTAATAATAAACCCCGGAATATTCAATAAACTTGTTTTTTTTGTACTGAACATCAATTGACTTGTTTCTACCATGAAAAATAATTGAGTTGATGCGTGTTTTTGAAACAGTTGATGAGTTTAATCAAATTATTTTTAAGTACTTGACTATAATACACGTTGATAAATGCAGGAGATCAGTGATTTTTTAATAAATAATTTACATAAATTACGTAATATCGAAACGACAATAGCAGACTTGATCTAAAATTCATTTAATACTTAGCATGTATGGAAATTTAATAGAAAAATCTAGTTTTCTTTGGAAAATTCAATTGAATTTCTATTGGAAAATTCTATTTGTTTTCTAATTCTGTGAAAAATTATGCACCTTTACCGTGTGTTTGTCAATAGATATTGTCTACAGAAAAAGAGTCTACAGAAGAGTATAAGAATTCTCTGCAATGAGTTTTATATTTTTTTTCTTGGATTTTATAATGAGATACGAGACAAAATGCAGTGAAAAAAATAAGAAAATTGAATCTTAAGAATTTCTATAGAAAAATGAAAATTAATTCGCATTTTTCTATAAAAATGACACGGTTAAGATTCATAAGCTCTAACAGAAATAGCACAAAAAACTGATAAAATTATTCAATAGAATAATTCTATTGGTTTTATTTAAGTCAATAGATCTTTTATGATAATTCTATTGAATTTCTTAGAGAATATGCTAGGTTTTTCTATTAAATTTTTTCCTACGTGAATTAATATGCATTTAGGCCTGATTGAACAATTCATTTGAATCAAATAAATTTCCGATAATATCAACAATTATTCACTATTGAATTATCATTTTAATGAATTATTTTAACGTTTTTCCTTTCTCAGAAAATGTTCTGTAAAAAGACCGTCGAGATTAAATTTTGAACAATCAATAATTATTGATTTTATGTTCGAATGTCTCATTAAATTCAATTAAATTATTCTCCAGGTAAATACTTCCTTAAATAATACTTTGACTAGTAACATGAATGTGAGAGTTGATCTTACAAAGCACTGACATAAAAATACGAGACTGTGAATCATCTGACAACGTAAAGGCACTATCTTTAAAAAAAACATTCAGAGATCAAAGGAAAAAATCTAAATTTCTACAAATTGTGCATGCAACTAGGCTGTCTCTCTCCACAGCTCGATTGAAGCTTCCTCGCGAAACGTAAGCATAGTGCTTTTTCTCAGTCGAAAAGATTTGTGGGTATTAAGCACATTTTTTATTCATATTAGGACGTGGGAGTTGTCAGACTCTGAGAATTTCACTTTTGGGTTGTGGTAGAGGTCCTCAATACCTGAACCAACTGACATTCGAGACTTGGAGCGAGCCATCAGGTCTGTTATGTCGTCGAAGTCTCGACTGTATCTGAAAAGAAAATTGTAAAAATGAAATTTATGCAGTGAATAAATCTTTTAAAAGTCATTAATATTAAATTATTGTATAATTAGATTAAACTAAATTAAATTAGTGAAAAAGAAATGGGAAAAAAAGTTAATGTAAAAATCAGGTGCAGATTATTTTGAAAATATCTTGAGAACCAGTTCATTTAGACGAAAATGTCAATAAACATTTTTTATGCAGAATTTAATATTCTACAAAAACGGTCTTCTGACAATTTCCTCTAAACCCAACGTATTTCGAGATATTCGCGAAATAGTAAAAATGATTTTTTTGTTTTTCATATAAAAATGAAAATACATTGGTTTTCGTGTTATTACCGACTCGCAGGACGACTGGAATTATCTGAAGAGTCTAACCCCCCTCTGATGACTGAGTCCCCATCATCAGTAATGAAGGAAGTGGAATTCCCCGAGGGGAACAGCATCGTGTGCTTGAGAAGATCTCCACTCATGAAGGGTGGGAGACTGTCGTCCTCATCGACAATCAGATGATTTGTGTTGTCTATTGCAATGGACTCCACCATTTCTAGCCACTGCTGATTGTGAGATCTGAATTTTTCGACTTTAATCCTGGCTGCCCAGTCTTTATCACATAACTGAAATTATTGTAATGATAATTACAATTAACGTTTTCAGAGGTTATTAATTTTTTCGTTGAGACAAGTATTGAAAATGACCGAAAATCGCGATGATTCATGCAATTATCGCCCACATAAGTGAATATTCAATTGAATATTAGCAAATGGTGGAGGTTAGACTCATTATATCTTCTATTATTCATCGTCAGTATGATTTTTTGACTGAAAAATTATTGTTTCTCTAATTATACAATGGAAATACATTTTCCAAAGAGCTTTCATTTGTTGGTAATCAAAAATGTAATTGAATTGATTTATTTTTAATTATTCAATTGAATATTCACTCATTTGGGGGATAATTCCATGAATAATAGTAATTTTCGGTCATTTTCAATACTTGTCTCACTGAAAAAAAAATTCTTATTGGCGGCAAAATTCCTTTCATTTTATTGACAATTTTTGGTGAAAATTTCAGATTAAAAAAAAAAGCTTTTTTAGTAATTAACGATAAAAAAAAATCGTTTTCGGGTGTAAACCCCGTCAAACTGAAGATAATGCTATGTATGACGTCTCATTTTGAAGGGTTTTTCATGTTCTTTGAGTGGGACAAAGGCCGATTTGATAGCTCGAAACCCCACAGAAATATTGAGGCCAATTTGGAAAAAAATAATTTTTAACAAAAACTAGTCATTTTGAAAAAATCATAACTCCCTCAATTATCAATATTTTTCAATTTTTCTTTTTTCAAAATTTTTGTCTAATCGCCATCTATTCAGAAAAAATTGAGACAAAATCCCCATCTGCTCATGATTTCCTATTTTATCCAGTCACATTTCGCTGATAGAAGTTTAATCGAATACTCACAGCAATCACATCCAAACAAGCATCACAAACTCTCCTGATGGCCGGATTCTTATCGTGCATGAGATCAATGAGATACCCCGGGGCCTCGTTCCCAGTCTCCTTGATCAGATAATCCCGGGTGGACTCGTGCATAGCGATTTGATAAAAAACGTAAATAATCTGCAAGACGATCTCATCATCCTCCTGTTTAGCCTTGAGCAGCTCAATCAATGATAACAGTATGTCAGCCTTGCAGAGGAGCCTCGCGCAGTCCTCGTCCGAGGCTGCAGTCCCCAGGAGCACTACCACCTCGAGCACCAGATCATCCTGAACCTTCCCAGGGACCAGATTATTCCTGATCCAGGGGATTAGATTGCAGCGTTGGAGGATCTGCGCATAGTCCAAATCCGGGAGCACTAGGTTCCCTAGGACTCCCACAATCTCCAGGACGAACTCTTGGGAGTCTGATTGAGTCAGGGCCATTGCAAAATCTCCAACAAATTCCTGCAAATTAAGGCCCGGGTATACTATCTTTCGAACGTTATCTCGATGTTTTTTTTTCATCTTTCGTCATCTGAAATTGTCAATTCGCAATTTCCACTTTTTTCAACTCATTCTGAATCTCAATTAAAAATGCTGTATGAAAAAGTTCAGAATTTTTTCCATTTTCTTTTATCATTCTATCATAATTTTTGGGAATTTCTACATGATGTACCACTCAATTGACAATTTTGGATTGCGAAAGATAAAAAAAATCCAGATAACATTCGAAAGATAGTACAGCCGGGCCTTAAATGAAAAAGATATTTTACACTCCAACGAGCTTATTCAATCATTATCTCATTTTTTTTCTCTCGTATACCCTTTCGGGTTTTTACGATTTGTTCCCTTCACACCCCCCAAACCCCTGCACCACACTCGCCGAAGAACGAGGGAAAACGTCATTTGAGTCGCCTCTTGCGAGACTCCCGCTCGACTATGAAACCGTGAGATTTAGAGTATCATAAATGTTGGGCCCCCACCCAGGAATCAAACCCGGGCCTCCCGCATGCCAATTCCACACTCTAACCACACAGCCACCGTCGTATATTTTTTTTTGTCAATTGAATAAGTTAAAGTCGCACAGTTAAAGTTCTTGGCGTTACGCCACATAAAGTCGATAGTTTTTAATTAATTTGAATACCTGCCGGTTGAAACGATGATTAAACATTTTGATATGTTGTTCAGGACATTTTTACGGATCGATTGGAATTTTTTCATTGGCAGCTGAATTTTTTAGACTATACCATACCTTCATCGGCCAGATTGACTGGATTATCGGTTCATTATGTCATTACATAAAAGCAAAGAACAGAAATAAGAATGGAAAATCGTTAGAAAGAAAAAAAAATCGTTCGACATTTCCTGTCCAAATCATTAATTCATGAGAGAATGGCATAATTACACAAATGAAAAAATCTTTTCTTCCACTTTCTCATGATTTACTCTTCACTGATGACAAATATGAAGATGAATCACAACATGAAAACTTAGAAAAAAAGACAATTTCAAAGTTAAAAAATGAACGGTCTAAAAATTGCATTTTCTAACTTTTTGGATCAAAATGAGTCCATATAACACATAAATCCGAAAATTAAATTTAATCGATTTCAAAGCTTCCATTCGGAAGCAAAAATCGTGGAAAAGTAAAATAATACTAAAAACCTCGAACCAATTAATGTATCATCTTCACCTCATAGGACTCCAACTACACCATCAAAAATAGAACGAAAAATTTATGTCCATATGTAAATACTTGACTGAAGGCCCTCGGGCGATGGTCTATTGCAACAAAAAAAATTTTTCGGTGGATTTTTCTTGCAATAAATTTCCTTAAAATTAAATTCAGTAGCGAAGTGGTAACACCGTACAAGTCAATTTTGACTATTGACCAGTTTTTAATGAATATCTCGAAATCGAAGGGACATAGCAAAATTTTTGTTATAACTTCTTTTGTAGAGCCGATTGAGAGCTACAACAAATGCAATCACGAAAATTTCGCTATCTCCCTTAGATTCGAAACTATTCCTCAAAAACTCAACTGGGAGATGAGTCGACTTGAACCGTTTTACCACTTCGCTGTTGAATTGATAAAAACTTACCACAAAATGCTCCTTAGTGCTCTCATGCTGTGAAATATTCCTAATCATCTTCATAATCAAAGCATCCTGGCTCTTGAAAGCCTTCCTGATGAGTCCCTGCAGTCGATTATTCTCCACCATGATCTGTGCATTCCTGTTATGACACGCCAAATTGATACAAAGTGCGGTGAGCTCCCTCTTGGTCCTCTCCTCCCCCTCCTCGAGGACCATGTCAGTCACCATGGGCACACACTCGCTGTTCCCAAACATGGACTTCACCTAGAGATGCATAATAACCGTCATTTTTTAGATCGCGTCATATGACCAAAAAATGACGGTCATGTGACGCACAAATTTTCCAACTACAAATGATTGTCACAAATCATTTGTAACCAAATTGTTGTCAAACCATCTATATAGTTGCATAATGACGGTCATAACTAATTTCCAATTTGTGACGGTCATGAATAAAACAAAATAGTTTCATCTATATGGATGGAAAAAAAACGTGATTTCCATTTCAAAATGCGGATTAGGTCAATACAAAAGGAATTCAACTGAAAATTGACCGAGAAAAAAATAAAGTTTCATCTATATAGATGAAAAATGACTGTCATTTTTTCTTGACAAGTGTGACGGTCACAGAAGGGGGAGGGGGAATTCTGACAGCCGTCATGAACGCCTCGTCACGTGACCGTCACATAACGAATCATGTGATGCATTTGCATTTCTAACTTCACCTTGTCATCCATGCTCAGGTGATACAGCAGTCCCAGAATGGTATTCTTATTCTGCGAATCACTGGCTCCCAGCAGTTTCACCAATTTAGGGAGAAGTCCCACCCTCACCATCTTGCCCCGTAATTTCCCATCGAACGAGAGGTTGAAGAGGAGTTTCAAAGTGCTCAGGACGAGGTCAGGATTGTTATTCTGGAGGAGCCTGGGCAGCTTCTCCACGATGTTGTCCTCAGCCATTGAATCCTTATTTTCCCTGAATATCGACAATTTCTTGAGGAATGTTATGACGAGAATGAGAAGGTCAGTGTTGACTCTGTCCAGGGTCTTGATCAGCATCCCGATGACATTCTTCTTTCTCATCTTCCTCTCGACCTCGGTGTTCTCAGCAATGTTCAGTAAGAGGTAGAAGGCGACGCGCAGGAGCTGCTCCTGCTTCTTCGTGAGACTCTTGAATTTCTTTCTGCTCTTCTCGAGGTCCTCCTTGAGACGCTTTATCTCGCCCTCGGAGATGTGCAGGTGCATCTCGGTGGACCTTCGCTTTAGCTCGTAGTCCAGGGGCCCCTCTGTGCTCCAGATGTCGTCGGTCAGCTTGAGCTTTTTGTCGTTGTTCTCACCGTTGGTCGACGGGAAGAGGACCAGCCCTGTGGAGGTCTCGAAGTGACGACGACGTTTCTCCATGTCGTCTTTCCATTGGTCGTACCTGGGGGGATTAATCAAGGATTATTTCAGGGTCATGATGCTTTCGATCAAGTGCAGTTGTCATTTCATTTGGAGGAAGTCTAGCTCGAAATGGAGAAAACTTTGAGACATTTTTAGTCGAGTTAAGGGGAGGCTCACTCCGGGAAAAAAACTTGTTCGTTTTTCAGAAAAAAAATTGAAAATACTACTTTTCGCATGATTTTTCCTCCGGAATCTGATTTTGCCGGTTAAAATTGTCTCGGACCACTCGAAATTAGGGATTCAAATTTCGTTCAATCGGAAAGTCAACTTAATAAAAATCCCCAAAGTATTTTTAAAAAATCGTTTTTTGAATATGATCGCAAATTTTTGCTCGTTAATTATAAAAAATGCGGGAGAAGATACATTTTGAAATTTATTCGTTTACCAAAATTTCTATTAATTTCTATTAATTAAATTTGAGCCGCGGAAATTCTATAGAAAATATCTCAATAGAATAAGTTATATAGAAAAATTGAATTCTATTGACTTTTTCTACTGAATATTTTGTATTGAATATTTCAATAGAATCGGCCAAAAACTAATAGAATAGTTCAATAGAAATTCAATAGAATTTTCTAACGAATTCGACAGGTTTTTCTATTAAATTTTTTCGTCCGTGTCGTTTGTCCGAAAACGCTTAAAATGCCAAAAACAGTTCAGGGCCTCGAATTTTTTAATTACGAAGGATTTTTCAAAATTTTTGGAAAAATATCTGAAATAACAATTACGAGCTTATTGTGCTATATTACATATACCATTATATATGCATAATGTATTATATATAATACATTATACAATGCATTATAATAAAGTATAATATAGAATATAATATAATAAGGTATTATCGTATATCTGTAAGGTATGCTATGGTCATTTATAAAAAATCCAATGACACAATACGCCGAATGGATTAGCTTCAAAAAACGTTACACAGGATTTTTTATTAAAGGATGATAGAAGCCTGGAGGATCAATAATGATACCTCAAGAGCTCGAACTCGACGATTTCCATGCACAACGAGCCAATCCTGTACTCCAAGATGATATTATGGAACTGAGAGTACGTGGAGAAGCAGAAGAAGATGTAGATGATGTTGGTGGAGAGCTCTATGCTGCGCTTCCAGTCCTCCCTGAGGACTCTCGCCAGGGCACTGAGGAGGGACTCGTTCTTCGTGAGCTCCAGAAGGTTGTCTGGGACTCTGGCCAGCTGGAGGATCAGGGCTGAGCCTTTCACTTTGCCTGGGATCTCCTCGTAGAGGAGCTCTATGTAGCTGTCGACGTTGGAGATGACTGCCCGCTCCAGGTCCCCATTCTCAGAGGGGGGGAGGGTCGTGGAGGTGGAGGAGGTGGGCCTCGGTGGGTGAAAATTACCGTCGAAACCTGGGGAATCAATAGAATTAAACTTTGCTGGTCTGAATTTGAATCTCGATATTAAACCGTTAGAAAACATTTTAAAAATCGGAAAAAAACTGCAAAATTTACTTTTTCTCGGAAGATTGATGAAATAAGTTTAAAATTGCAATTTTTTAAAATTACGAGTATTTTTTATAAATCATTTATAAAGAATCAATTTTCCACCATAAAAATCATTTGTTCGGAATCGTAACCAATTTATTCATATTCAGAATTTTATCAGAAATCGATCCCATGCCTAAATTTCTGAAGGCAGTTCTTTCGTGGAGAAGGTCTTTACATGTGTTTTGGTAAAACTACTAGTTTCAGTGGTATTTTGAATCATTTACCTTCGTTATTGATCTTCCTATTCTGTAAATAATAGATTAATTGCTCGACCTCGTGGAGCTTTGACTCATGAATCAAGGAGCATTTCTCCATCACCTCCTTGGCCAGCAGGGAGACATTCGTATCGGCATTCAAACTCTTCAATCTGATTATTTTTTGACATTCCTGGAAATTAAATTAAAATACCCTCAATATTCTGATTCATTCAGGTGACTCAATTCGTTCATTGTAAAGTTCAAACACGATTATCGATTCAAGCTATCACGAGATTTTTATCTCACAGCTGCATGCCAAGAGAATTTTCGATGTTTAGCCCTGCAGACAGTCTCATTCTACCTCAGTAGACAAATTTCATATCTGATAATACATATTCTGTTATTAATTCTTTAATTATCTCGTGCATAAGTGCGTTTGGGAGGAAATATAAGAGGACAATTCGCAGGGGATTTTCTCCTCTATAAAAGAGATCTGGCCTATTCCTCTAAAACCTTTAATTGCCTAATAAATTCAGTCTTAAAAATTGCCTATTTCTCGTGAAAAAAGGAGTAGTTATCGAGTTCCCACAAAAATATACTGAATGACTCAATTAGTTTTTTTTTTAAATGCAAGCCATTAAATCTTACGGTTTATTCTGCAGTAAGAATAAGTGATTGACTCAATTCGTTCATTACAATGTCCAAACACGAGTATCGATTCAAGCTATCATGAGAGTTTTATCTCACAGCTGCATGCCAAGAGAATTTTCAATTTCTAGCCCTGCAAACAGTTTCATTCTGGCTCAGTAAACAAATTTCATGCCTGATAATGCATCTTCTGTTATTAATTCTTTAATTATCTCGTTCATAAGTGCGTTTGGGGGAAAATATAAGGGGACCTAATTCGTCGAAATTTTCTCCTCTATAAAACAGATCTGACCTATTCCCCTAAAACTATTCCCCTATTCCCCTAAAAGTTGCCTATTTCTCGTGAAAAAAGGAGTAGTTATCGAGTTCCCACAAAAATATACTGAATGACTCAATTAGTTTTTTTTTAAATGCAAGCCATTAAACCTTACGGTTTATTCTGCGGTAAGAATAAGTGATTGACTCAATTCGTTCATTATAATGGCCAAACACGAGTATTGTAATGTCCAAAATTTTGTACTAGGCATTTAATAATAGAATAAATTTTATGTAAGATTATAATTTCAGGTAATCAAGAACCAAATCCACAATTGTAAATTAAATTGAGTGCATTTCATCACCCGGACTCAATTAAAAATTCCAAAGACACCAGAATTGAGTTCAAAAGTGATGAAATGACACACTCAGCAGGCCCCAATTACTTAATACTAAGATTCACACGCGAAGCAACGATTGAAAACCGATTAATTGAGACCCCAAAAACCGATGAACTACTTCCCCATAAAAATCAAAAGAGTGGGAGAAGTCATACGACATTTTCCACCAATTAAAAATGGACTCGTTGGAGCCCATGTGACAAGTGACCCAAAATTCATATAAAAATGTCAGAAAAACCAAAATCAAGCAGTCTTGAAGCAACGACGGAGCAGTAACAATTCTGGTGGAAATAGTTCATTTAATCGGTCCGGTCTTTCAATCCTTCCTTCGATTACGCGGGATAGTACTGAATTAATAGTAAGTTACGAACAATTGAATTTATCCGGGAATAAAATTTCTTTAACCGAGAGTGGTGACTTTTCTTGCAAATAAGGAATTCGTTCATTGTGACGCGTTGTGGACAGTCTCCACCAAACTTAAAATTTTCAAATTCAACTGCCACNAATAAAATTTCTTTAACCGAGAGTGGTGACTTTTCTTGCAAATAAGGAATTCGTTTATTGTAACGCGTTGTGGACAGTTTCAACCAAACTCTTAAAATCTTCAACTTCAACTGCCAAAAATTCATTAAAATATCAACGAGTAGAAGAAAGTGTTTCCGTGAAAGTATCCATAATAGCCTTTAGCGCGACTAATTGCTGGTGAGGAAATTACGGATTTACCCAGGGATCTACAAACACATCGAATAATTTACAAATAACAGACCGACTTGTAACAAAAATTTGTAAACCTAAATTCGAATCCTTCAGACCATTCTAGGGATAGGAATTTTAGCTACATAGATTTCTGTAAAATCATGCCTATGCTTTTGTAAACCGAATAGTTATACAAAATATATTTAAATTCAAATTTGATTCCCATTACAACTCCAAATTTCTTGATTAGAAATTCGTCTCAACTCAAGCCCTATCCCTAAATCAAGCCCTTTTTCCCGTATATTTTAAAAAAATGTAAGAGTATATAACTTTGCGTCGTCCAATAATTATAAAATTCAATAATTTCAGTTTCACAACGGATAGGTTCCAGGTTCGATTCCTGGCCGGGTAGAATGGTGAGATCTAACCATTTTTTAAAGTCTTGATCAATCGCCATATAGTCTCATCAGACTCGAAGCGATATAAAATAAGCAT